GCTCGCCAGACAGACAGAGAGAGACAGAGAGACAGAAAGTGAGAAATCACCCCCCCAAGGGGAATGGTCACACCACAATCCCTTCTCTTCCATTCTCCTCTCGGGATCTTGGGCACGCACGTACACGCGCCCAGTGTGAGTTTTTAAGCCACTGGGTCCGGGAAGCGAACTGCTGTCGACTACGTGGGAGTCCAGCGACATAGCCATTACGCTAACTGCTGGTTCCCCCTAGAATATGTTCTTTATGGGAACTTTGGAGAACATAACCTTATCACTTCTAATAGTATTTTTGGTAGGTACATTTTGTCCTATTGTCTATTCAGAATAAAAAATTGTGAGCCTGGGACCGTGGCCTAGTGGTTAAGGGAGCCATAGCTAAGCAAATTATGGGCATATGGATTTATATGATGAGCTCGATTTGGAGCTGCTGACCTGGAAGCAATGGCTTTCTGTTCAGTCTCAGCACTGTCTGACACATGCCTGAATGATCACATCAGTCTCCACTTACCAATCTGAAAATATGCAGATATTTGTCCACTAGATACTTACTTTCAATCGGCCATAGGCCCAATATGGTATTTTGGCTTATTGATGAAAAATGCTGCTGTTGCAGCCCTGCTTTTTTACCTTCTAGAACCTTGCCACTCAAGTGTGTGATCCACGTTAGCATCACCTGGGAGCTTATTAAACAAGTAAATATTGGGCCTTGCCTCACTACTGAATCAGAAACTATTTTTAACAAGCTCCCCAGATGATTTGTAAGCATATTAAAGTTTAGAAAGTAGTGTCTCAAAGATTGGCTTCCTTAGAACAAGAGTTCCTGTTTTTTTTTTTTTTAAAGAATGATTTCATTAACTTTATTTATTCACTTGTTTATTTCAATGTGACCAGAGAGAGACAGAGAGAGAGAGGGAAAGTGCGAAAGCCAGCTGCCAGGTTTGGGACTTGGACCGCAGTTGGCCATATCGGAATCCAGCACCCTTAACCACCACCCCACCTGCTGGCCCCCATCAAGAGTTCCTGTTTTTTTTTTTTTAAAGAATGATTTCATTAACTTTATTTATTCACTTGTTTATTTCAATGTGACCAGAGAGAGACAGAGAGAGAGAGGGAAAGTGCGAAAGCCAGCTGCCAGGTTTGGGACTTGGACCGCAGTTGGCCATATCGGAATCCAGCACCCTTAACCACCACCCCACCTGCTGGCCCCCATCAAGAGTTCCTGTTTTTTTTTTTTTAAAGAATGATTTCATTAACTTTATTTATTCACTTGTTTATTTCAATGTGACCAGAGAGAGACAGAGAGAGAGAGGGAAAGTGCGAAAGCCAGCTGCCAGGTTTGGGACTTGGACCGCAGTTGGCCATATCGGAATCCAGCACCCTTAACCACCACCCCACCTGCTGGCCCCCATCAAGAGTTCCTGTTTTTTTTTTTTTAAAGAATGATTTCATTAACTTTATTTATTCACTTGTTTATTTCAATGTGACCAGAGAGAGACAGAGAGAGAGAGGGAAAGTGCGAAAGCCAGCTGCCAGGTTTGGGACTTGGACCGCAGTTGGCCATATCGGAATCCAGCACCCTTAACCACCACCCCACCTGCTGGCCCCCATCAAGAGTTCCTGTTTTTTTTTTTTTAAAGAATGATTTCATTAACTTTATTTATTCACTTGTTTATTTCAATGTGACCAGAGAGAGACAGAGAGAGAGAGGGAAAGTGCGAAAGCCAGCTGCCAGGTTTGGGACTTGGACCGCAGTTGGCCATATCGGAATCCAGCACCCTTAACCACCACCCCACCTGCTGGCCCCCATCAAGAGTTCCTGTTTTTTTTTTTTTAAAGAATGATTTCATTAACTTTATTTATTCACTTGTTTATTTCAATGTGACCAGAGAGAGACAGAGAGAGAGAGGGAAAGTGCGAAAGCCAGCTGCCAGGTTTGGGACTTGGACCGCAGTTGGCCATATCGGAATCCAGCACCCTTAACCACCACCCCACCTGCTGGCCCCCATCAAGAGTTCCTGTTTTTTTTTTTTTAAAGAATGATTTCATTAACTTTATTTATTCACTTGTTTATTTCAATGTGACCAGAGAGAGACAGAGAGAGAGAGGGAAAGTGCGAAAGCCAGCTGCCAGGTTTGGGACTTGGACCGCAGTTGGCCATATCGGAATCCAGCACCCTTAACCACCACCCCACCTGCTGGCCCCCATCAAGAGTTCCTGTTTTTTTTTTTTTAAAGAATGATTTCATTAACTTTATTTATTCACTTGTTTATTTCAATGTGACCAGAGAGAGACAGAGAGAGAGAGGGAAAGTGCGAAAGCCAGCTGCCAGGTTTGGGACTTGGACCGCAGTTGGCCATATCGGAATCCAGCACCCTTAACCACCACCCCACCTGCTGGCCCCCATCAAGAGTTCCTGTTTTTTTTTTTTTAAAGAATGATTTCATTAACTTTATTTATTCACTTGTTTATTTCAATGTGACCAGAGAGAGACAGAGAGAGAGAGGGAAAGTGCGAAAGCCAGCTGCCAGGTTTGGGACTTGGACCGCAGTTGGCCATATCGGAATCCAGCACCCTTAACCACCACCCCACCTGCTGGCCCCCATCAAGAGTTCCTGTTTTTTTTTTTTTTAAAGAATGATTTCATTAACTTTATTTATTCACTTGTTTATTTCAATTTGACCAGAGAGAGACAGAGAGAGAGAGAGAAAGTGAGAAAGCAAGCTGCCAGGTTTGGGACTTGAACCGCAGTTGGCCATATCGGAATCCAGCACCCTTAACCACCACCCCACCTGCTGGCCCCCATCAAGAGTTCCTGTTTTAACCTACCTTGTTAGTGCATAGTAGTAGCCTATTTGGGAGCTAGGTATGGGTGTCTTTGCCACAAATTCCGTTTCTGAAAGCACTCACTGGGTTGTTACGTGTCTGACAGTCTGAGATGCTTTCACATAACCATGTAGAGACTGAAGGACATACATTCGCAGGTAAAAAGGAGAAGACAGAGAGAGACCTAATAGGTGTTGACTGCCCACGCTAAATGGGACAGTGCCTCACTGAGTCCTCACAACAGTGCTATAGGGCAGCTATTAGCTTGAGTGAAACTTAAAAAAAGAAGACAAACTAACGTGCAATATGAAGTGGTCACGTTTTAATGTAGTTCTGTCACCAAACTGTGTATTCTTGCCATCACGTCTCTTGTCTCGAAGAGAAGAAATGGTAAATGGGATGTGGAGTGGGGTGAAGCTTTGAATCCTGTTCACCCTTGGCTGCTATCCCCTGTGTAGATGAGCTTCTGCGCAAAAACCAGCAACTGAGCATGCAAGTGGCTTGCCTGAACCAGGAGCTTGCCCAGCTAAAAAAGCTGGAGGAGACAGTTGCCCTTCTCCATGAAAGTCAGAGGTAGGAGGGCGTCTATCTGGTTGGCTTCCAGAAGCAGAATGTTTGCTTCCCTTTATTTCTTTTGTTTTGCTTGGAAAGTTAATGCCTACACACTTTGCAAAGTAACTCCATTCTGTGTGTGACCCTCCTGCATCTGGGCCAGCAGCTCAGGAAGCAGAAGTATTGCTTCCCAGAACACACCAGGAACTAACTGCCTTTGCTGGCTGTACCTAGTACATCTCAGTACCTAGTTTCTCACTGGACCTAACGAGACCTTTGTTTGGGTCGGCTAACTCCCTCTGGTTACTACATACCTCCAAATCAGCCATCTAGCTCCTCCAGAAAATGCCTGGCCGCAACTGGTCCCAGAAGACCTGTCAAGAGCACTGAGAGCATGAGAAGGAAACAGTCCCAAGTATGCCTTCTCTTCAGAGGAGCTCGATAGCTCAGCCTCCTCAAAGAAAGGTACCCTTGGGACCAGCAGATGACATAATGGTTATGTCGCTGGACTCCCACATAGTGGACCACAGTTCAAGTCCTGGGCCTGGTGGCTTGAAACTCATGTCGGGTGTGTATGACTGTGTGCCCAAAATCCTGAGAGAAGAATGGAGGAGAAGAGATTGTGGTGTGGCCATCCCCCCAGGGGTGATTTCTTGCCGTTGTTTCCCCCCCAGGAACACCCGTCCCTTAAAAAAAAAAAAAAAAAAAAAAAAAAAAAAAAAAAAATCCAGTACCCCAGTACCCTCAGGATGCAGGCTAAGGAAAAGATCAGAAGAGATTCAAGACCACTGGTTCATTCAAAGAGAAGCCCTTGACATTTTGACTTCCCACCTTCATTAAAACGTTTGATAAAATTTAAATAGAAGCACCCTATCCCCAAACCTTCAACCCCAAACTTCATGTCCTGATCTTCACTAGAATAGCTTTTTTTTTTTTAGAGGTTTTTGCTATAGGGCGTGTGCATTCGCCAGACAGAGAGAGAGAGACAGAGATGCAGAAAGCGAGAAATCACCCCCCAGGGGGGATGGTCATGCCGCAATCCCTTCTCCATTCTCCTCTCGGGATCTTGGGCACGCACACACACACACCCAGCATGAGTTTAAGCCACCAGGTCCAGGACGTGAACCGTGGTCGACTACGTGGGAGTCCAGCTACATAGCCATTACACTAACTGCTGGTTCCTACAATAGCTTTGTAACCCAAGGTTTAGACCTGAACCCATCCTAGATGTCTTTATTATTATTATTATTATTATTTATTGTTTTCTTTCTCTCTCTCTCTCTCAAGAATTATTTTAATTTTACTATTAATTATCATTAATTTTACTTATCATTATTATTTTTTTTTAATTTGCTGCAGGGCTTGTGTGCTCACCAGAGAGAAAGAGAGAGAGAGAACGAGAAAGCAAGCTACCAGGTCTGGGACTCAAATTGCCATGTGGGAGTCAGTTCCCTGCTGGTCCCTCCTTTTTATTTTTTTAAGACAGGATCTCACTTGGTTGCAATCCTACTGCCATAGCATCCCAGCAAGCTTGGACCACAGGAGTGTGACACTATGCCTGCTTGAATTGTTCTCTTTGTTCATGATATGCATGTATATGAGCATGCATGAGAGAGATGAACACCCTCCACAAGGTCTGGTCAGGCCGCGATCCCCTTCTCCAGTCTTCCAGCCAGCTGGATTCTGGGTACTAGCACACGTGCCTAGGAGTGCTCGCACAGGCTGGCAGGGCAGTACCTTCAAGCCACAGTCGCCATGCAGGGTCTGGCTTCTCTAGCACACATTACTCCCATTCCATGGAGCCTTTTAAACATTTTTTTCTGTGGTGAGCGCATACGCCATCTAGCAAAAGAAAAAAAAAAGTGGTGTAATGAATATCATTGTGCAAGCATCATTTTCTTCCTCTTTTTTTCCTTTGCGTGTGTGCTGGTATGTGGATGGCCTTTAGCATTAGTTGGTAATGCGGAGTCCAAGAGTATGGTCATGACCAGCACCCTAGGTTCATTGCAGGTTGGAAGTAGAAGTTATGACCTTGGGGTAGAAGTCAGAGGCCTGATCAGGTGTCAGTGACCCAGCGTTTCTATTTACCTTACCACAAGAGTGCTCTGGAAAGAGTAGAACAACCACTATATAAAATGTGAAAGGTATTTTCGCTTCAGTCAGTCTGGAACATAATCAAACAGAATGGTAATGAAGAAACTCTAGGTCTGCTTTTAGAATAACCTGCTCATAAATTAGACAGTTTGAGGACCAGCAGTTGACATAATGGCTCTGTCGCTGGACTCCCAATGTAGTCAATCGCAGTTCGAGTCCCGGACCCGGTGGCCTAAACTCACTCTGAGCACGTGTACGTGCGTGCCCAAGATCCCGAGAGGAGAATGGAGGAGAAGGGACTGCAGCGTGCCCATCCCTACTGGGGGGCGATTTCTCGCTTTCTGTCTCTCTGTCTCTCTCTCTTTCTATGAGCATATGTGCCCTATAGCTAAAACTTATCAAAAAAAAAAAAAATTGGACAGGTCGTTCTTGTTGAAGGTGTTGCTCCATTTTATGTTTGTCTTTAGTGAACATTTCAAATCCGAATGGTATCTGCTTTGCTTTCATGATTTCATGACTGCCTTTTCCCCCGTGTCTCAGATCCCTGGTGGTAACTAATGAGTATTTGCTGCAGCAGCTGAATAAAGAGCAAAAAGGTTATTCCGGGAAAGCACTCCTGCCTCCTGAGAAGAGCCATCATTTGGGGAGATCGTCGCCCTCCGGGAAAGGCACGTTGTCTTCCTCATCCCCGGGGGCACACGACAGCAGTCAGTACCTCATACAGAGCGTCTCCGACGCAGTCCCAGAGCCTGGTTTATGGAGCTAGCAGCAGGCACCGGGCCGCGGCTTCCCTCACCCACCAGGGCCCTCAGAGTGCCGTCGCCACAGTTTGGTGGGATTTACCCACAACGATGAAGAAAAACGCGTATTCTAATTATGCTGTATTGGTCCTTCTTTTCATTTCTTTCTTTATCTCCTCCCATCGAGTCATTCTTTCCTTCTGCCCACAGAAATAGTTGGCACAGTCCTAGGCGTCCTATCATAGAGACATTTGGCTGAAAATGTCAAAAAAGGACACAACACCAGACATTTTTCCCCATGTCATTTGCCACTGTGCAGTAGTGGTTAAAAAAGAACATCTAGCAGGTAGGTGTCTTTTGTGTTTGAAGAAATTTTAAAGAGCCTGCGTTGAGTCACCAAACATGTTTTGAGTTTCCTCCAGTGACAGCATCTGGTGTCTGCCTCGGAGCAGCCAATAATTCAGTCAGGGAGAAAACCGGAAACTCACGTGGTGGAGCTCAGACTTGGCATTGGTACCAAGCAGGTCCAACAACAGCCTGAAGATGCTCCAAAGAGAGAGACAGAGTGAGGAACTTGGGGGACCAGAGAAGGCTTCACTAAGGACTTTGCACGGGAGTTATAGAATGAGTAGAATGGCTGGTGGCAGGGGAGGGCAGACAGGCTTCCCAGGCCACGCATGCAGAGGAGAGTCTGGAGCCCCCAAAGGGACCAGTCCAAACTTGGATGTTTGATATCAGGAAAATGTCCCCAGAGGAAATGATTTTTTTTTTTTTTTAGAGGTTTTTGCTATAGGGCACGTGTGCTTGCCAGAGAGACAGAGTGAGAAATCACCCCCACCCCCGGCGGGGAGGGCCATGCCACAATCTCTTCTCCTCCATTCTCCTCTCAGGCACATACACACACATGCCCACATGAGTTTAAGCCACCGGGTCTGGGACTTGAACCGTGGTCGACTACATGGGAGCCCAGCAACATAGCTATTATGCCAACTGCTGGTCCCAAGAGGAAGCTATCTTTAAACTGAGACCTGAGAGTGGATCAGGGTTTCTTAGGCTAAGCGCAGGGCAGAGCAGTCGGGAGAAGCTGCAGAGAGTCGGCATCTGTAAAGGCCCTGGGATGGGAAGGAGATTGGTTCCTTCGAGGACCTGAGGGGCTGAGAGGGGTGAGCAGGAGCTAGGGTGCCCGGCTCCTTGAAGACCGTAAGCTGGGGAGGCAGAGGCGTGCTGGCTTTGTGTTTAGAAGCTTTCTCCGTGAGAATGAACTGGCCGTGTGGAGTGGCTAGGGCCGGAGAGGAGCTAGGAAACGTGAGAGGAGGCAGGGACCAGACCAGAGCTGGAGCCTCCGCGTGTAGATCAGCTTTAATGTACAAGAACCCCGTCTTTCTTTTAATTCCCAATTGGTTGACTATTTTAAAAACCAGTCCAGAGAGAATGCCAGTAGTTTTAGGTAGGTTTCTGCTTTCCTGGTATATTCGGCCATTTGTGGGCATTTTGGGGTTTTTTGTTTGTTCATTCGTTTTTAAAGACAGAGTCTCACTGTGTTGCCCAGGCTGGCCTCGAACGGGCAGTCCTTCTGCCTCAGCCTCCCAGTAGCTGGATCATAGGCCTGCACTACTGCACTCAACTGTGTTGCCAAAACAGAATACTGGAGACTGGGTGGTTATAAAGAAATAGGTCTATCGGCCCGCGATTCTGGTGGCCGGGAAGACGAAGAGCATCTGGCCAGCCTCTAGTGCTATGTCACAATATGGCAGAGAGAAGCAGAAAGTTCAGGGGACATGGGCAAAGAGACACCTGAGGGCAGCCGACTTGCTTTAGGACAACTGCTATGGTGGGTACTAATTAATGAGAACACGTATTAATTATTCGTGAGGGGTTCGCCCCTTTGTCCCAGACTACCCATACCCCCACTCTCTATGTACTGCCCCATTGGGTGTCAAGTTACAGCTTAAGTTTCCAGGAGGCCACAACACTCAGACCAGAACGCTGGCTCCCAGGTAGCTAATGCGGCCGGAGAGTGTGCAGGAGGCCAAGGACTGTCAGCCTAATGCTGTGTTGTACTTCCCTCCACCTTCCAGAGGCAGGCAGAAAGGTTAGACCCCCGTCTGTGCCCCTGACTCAGGCGTGCACAGGGAGAGAGAGCTCTTGCCATACTGAGATGTGACGATCACACATTTCTGACTTAAAAAGAAAGTCCACGGACCTCTGGGTTTTTTGAACTTCCTGAAAGGAACAGAGGAGCACTAAGTTTCTTTGAACTTCAAGGCCCTAATGAAGCTGGAGTGAGTTTGTGATCTGTGGAAATGTCAGTAAGCACTGCCCTCACCCAGCCCTAACCTTTCTGGACCCAGGTAGGGAGCCTTGGCCCATGGCCTTGCAGCCCTGGGTTGTCATATTTCAGGGTCCTGGCCCGGAGCCGGGACAGACTATGGTGAGAGAGAACACTACTTTCTTCAGAATCTGCTCAGGGCACCTCTCAGTAGGAGCAAGGAGCCTGACCTAACTGAGTCATCTTCCACCCCATATTCTATTGTCCCTGAATGTGGCTGGCCCTGCCCTGGGCCAAGCACCTCTGTGGAGTGCTAGCCACTCCTGGGAAAGTTGTCTGTGTTCCTGATTTTCTTGGGGTAGCCCTTGGTCCAGAGGGCAAGGGTAGGAGTTGGGATGTCAAGGTAAGGTCAAAGAATTACCACCTGTGGAACTAACTAGATTCCACATGGAAGGAAGAAGACCCCGAGGCCAGCAGTGAACAAGTGGGCAGGGGTGCTCGCCCTTGGCCTGACGCTGCCTGGAGATGGGAGAAAACAGGCCTGGGATGGAGAGCAGTCCTCAGGGAAGCCCTGTGCCAACAGGGAGGGGTAGGGCCACTCCGACAGGTTTGGACTTCCCTCAGCTCTACAGAGCTTTTAGTGGCGTCATCCCGCAGATCCCAACCTCTCGTCCTTGCTCACCTGGATTTGGTAGCCAGGGCACCCACTGCTTGACCTGCAGGAGGGTGCAGGGAGGGGCAGTGAAGCAGGCAGTAAGGCCATTCTTAGTCCCTGGCTGCCGAGTGCCAGATTCTGCCAGATCCATCTGGTCTTTAAGGGTCTTCCTGGCCCTGGGTGGGCCCTGCTTTCCCTCAGGTTCCATAACAACTTTTAATGAAGAGGAGGCTTGAGGCTGGCAGGTGGCAAGGTGGTTAAGGGTGCTGGACTCCCACATGATTGACTGCAGTTTGAGTCCCAGACCTGGTGGCTTGCTTTCTCACTTTCCCCCTGCTCCGGGTCAAATTTAAATAAAGTTGAATAAAATAATTATTAAAAAAAGAGGAGGAGGCTTTATTTCTACAAGGTACAATTTAGAGGCTCAGCTTTCCTTCTGGTTCCCCCAAGTTACCCCAACATTGTAAGACAAGATTAGCTGCTGCTCCCCCATACACACGGAACAGTCCTCTCCCCTGCAGGTCACTAGCCGGGGGCCTGGCCCAATTGGGAGCACAGTTAAACTCGGTTCACTTTGAGGCTGTGAGGCTGTAAGTGAGCCAGGAGGACTTGGCTGTCAGCCCTGCTGTGCTCATCTAAGTAAAGCTTGCAGTTCAAGCCAGTTCCCCGAGGTTAGAGAAATCATCCCTTCAACATTTGCTGGTGGGCGATGGAGAGCTTTTTAAAACTTCCCCAGGTGAGGAAGATGGACAACCGAGACAGGAGCCACCACAGTCGGCTCTCGGGCAAGGCTC